CATTCATCATTCTCAAGTGCATCGCTTTCTATTAATATACAAACTACTTTGTTACTGTATGATATATGAAGAGGGCTAAGTTATTCATATTCTATCTTTAATTTCCTTTTGATGTCCAATATCATTAAGTTCGTTACCTTGTTCAAAATTAGTAAAATCCGGTTTGATTGCTCAATAATCAAATTTATCAAGCTTGATTACAAATGGGCCGTCCACGAACACAATGCTGTAATAATTATAGGAAACAGTAGGTACATGAGTTCTTTGTTTTTCAATGTCACTTTGGTTAGGATTGCATTTGTTTCAAATCACCAAAATGTGAGACATACGATAATTATACTTGGCTTAGTTGGTAATAGATTTAGCAAAGGTATTTCTTGTTTATTTACAGTTATTTGAATAATTTACAGCTATATGACATCACTAGTTTTGATTTTCGTTGTTAACCTATGTAACTGTGCCGGGGGAAGGTGCAGCTCATAAACTTTGTTAATTTTATTAGACATTTGTTGTTTTGCTACTTTGGCATCTACTAAGTTTATTTCATTTACGAGCCTACAAGTGTCATGTTGGATTACTAGTCTTGTCAGTATTGATGTGAAATCATATTTCAGTTTCGTTTCGTTATACGTCCAACTATAGATTACAGTTAATTTAAGGTTTGTCGGTTTCGTAACTAAGAATGCTTTCGAATCATTCCCATAGAAGTTATTTTTGTATTGTCACTTATGTACCGGGTAATTACCCATACATTTTAATATATCTACATAATTATTCGCGTGATTCAAGTCTTCGTGGTTGGCCGACGCAAGTGAAGCCGGTCGCTACTGACCGTGGTACTGCGTTTACGCATCGTCGCTCATCGTGTGAAAATTCCCCTTCAATCCACATTGTTCTTAATTTGCCCTCATACGTTTTATTCAGGGAACATTAATCTCAGCACTATCGAAAAAACAAAGCTATTAGTAGCTAGAGTCTACCTGTCTACTGCTTTGTATTACCGCCAATCCTAGAGTTGAGCCTTTCTGGAAATTTCTTTAATTTTAGAGTGTGCTCAAATATTTGCATCGCAAGAATGTATAGTCCTTCGCATAATAAAATGGATATTCTTCATTTATGCTCCAGTTGTGTCAGTGAAGTTTAATGAATGCACCTTATAATTTCACTGTCTAGACCGTGCGTCCGTTTACTTAGTTTGTTATTAAGACCGCCGTTGCAATGGCGTCGTCGTTAAATTACAAAATACCACCACTGTTCTTGGTGATGAAAGAAATTAATTGTTTCCGCCGACCGATGCTAGTAACGAAAGTGATTTTGTGACTTAGTCTATTCATGGAACCAATTATACCATTTATTTCACTGGAACTGCAGCGCGTAACAGCCTGCGTGTAGATTGCCAGTTAATGACTTTGTTAAGAAAACTGCAGAATATTATTTTTTTACACTTACGTAAAATACTCTTGCGGTGTTGCAAGAAAATCCTTTTTTTCGTGATTTAGTTACACTTCCTCATCTTGTGTGATTTTGATTCCATATTTAATTGAAACATTTCGTGCTTCGTGCCTTTATGGCGTGCACAGATTAGGCCTTGTTTGTTTTAAGTGAATCACTTAAAGGTCATTATGTTATACCCCATTATGTGTTCATTTGCTGATGATATTATTATATTTGTTCAGTCCTTCAAAAATCTATTTTTTGTGCCAAACAGTCATTGTTATTTGGAGATCTTACTAAACTTAACCTTTAAACGTTACGTTAACCTTAAAAACTTCATTTAAACATGCTACAGTTAAAGCAAGAGTTGCTCAACAATTTAATCGTAAAATTGCTCAACTTGAACTTTATTTTAGAAATATACCAAAATTGATAGTTTAACATATAGCTGATCTTTCTCAATAAACACATTTATCTTGATATATTTCGAATATAATATAAAACTGTCCAGGGGTCGAGTTCAATTCTGTTTTAATACTGCATGTTTATTCAATAAATAATTTAAAAGATCGCACCATGAGTAATAAAATTGAGTTTAATGTTTTTAATAGAAACTATAAAACTTTGTAGGCGGTAGGTCTTGGTGGAGCGTAAAATCTAATCACGTAGCAATGTCCAATTCCGTGTGATAATACCGTTCTTGCGCTTGAAGTTACAGCTTATTAAATGCGTATTAGAATAGAATGAGGGAGAGGAATTACAGAGTGAACGCGCCGCGGTCCGCCATTGTGGACGGTGACAATGCAAGAGAGATTGCATTGCATTATCTGGAACCAGTAAGCGTACATGTGTGTGTCAGTGTCGCAATACTCCAGGGAGAAAATTGTACACTACTATTTAATATTTATGAATTAAATTGAATTAGACTTGTAATAAATAGTTTTTAATCCTTCACAGAAGGCTGTAATTATGATCTAGTAAAACGGCCACGGGTCAGTGACCTCCATCTAGAGCGCAATAGTTATTTAATTTAAGAATACACGATCATGAAAATATATTTATTTAACGAACGATGTACTTTATATTCAGTAATAGCTATGAGCCATGCGAAACATGTTTTCTTGACCATACCTATTCATTAAGAAGAATTAATTTCATAGTAATTTTAAATTGAAAGTCTACCATTAATTTTGGTTACAAATCCAACCTAAAACTAACTGTACTTACTTTTCCGTAGGTGGTCTCAAAGATCGAAGCGGCAATTGACATTTGTCACTCAGTGACATACAAGTTGCTTGCGCGCCTATTATAGTGAATGCTCTTCCTACGCTGGCGTTCAAACATCATTATGTTATAGAGTTATCAATATATGTCCAACTAACTTTCAATCTTAACTCCTGTACTCAAAGATAGATTTTGCTTACTGGCTCCTAAAGGGAGTTGCAAGGCTAGAATTACGTACATAGAATGATCGCGATTGCGGTTAGAGTAATCCGAGTAAATGGTAAAATTAAACCTTGTTAATACGAATACAACTAGGTATATTATGCGGCTTTGCAACCTGTTTGTGGATAGCTCTACTTTGATGTAACTTAGTTTTGTGACACCAAAAACAGGTAATAAAAATGACATTATCGCTACCAATTTAATTAAAATCGATCGGAACATCAATTCATATTTAAATTTGTGGTTTGTAAGATTGATTGCATGTTTAAATGTTACACGTTCCGCGTTTGTGGAAAACATTAATACACCGTGAGCTTTCCTCGCAAGTGGAAAGAATTATAACTAAGAAATGGGTTAATGTGATGCTCGTAGGCGATGAGCATGCAAGCAGTCATTAAACATTTCTGTTACATCTGCAAGTCTCATAAATTACTCTCGTACGTTACTTTAAACGGTTCCATTATACGTTATAATGATGCTAAAACCTAAATCTTTTAGTGAGAAAGGTAAGGTATAAACAAAGATGAAAATATAAAACCCTGAACAAGAATGCGTAAATAGCTGTCCATCACTAAAGTCATCCATAGTTCACACGAGCCTTCAAGTAGGTACACACAAGTTTAGTGGCTTGCGCAAGAACGACCTCAAACAGACGACATATTTCGAACCTCGTCCACGTCAAATCTGAGTACATTAATCAAACTCAGGCGCATAGACGTGAAGTGACAGACAGACAGCCCCTAAAACAAGCTGGTACAAAGCAGCCTCCATTATCCCGCAATTGTTTTTGTTTTAAACTCTCATTTACCAGTACAAAGACTGCTGCATTGTTCAACAACTATTACAAGTGTTTCGACACCTGTCAACGTCCGTTTGTGACACGTTACAAAAGGAGTTTTTATACGATTCTGATCTTGATGCAACCTTGTGTTGACCATCAAACGATTCAACTTGTCAAACTGAGAGCCCTGTCAATGATGACTGTCAAATTAATCAACTAATTCAATGTAGTTTAGTCAAATGATAATATTAGCTTGAAGATTTTAGAAGAAACTTAAATCGACATGGCAATTACATTTTAAATTACAAAATAAGTAGGTGGTCGTAAATATAAATTCCAGTAGCAGGCATCGCGATCGACTGGGTGCCAATTAAGTTGTTTGGAATAAAAAAGCTGCCGCTAATATGAGGCATAAACATATCATCCTAAATGCGTCCACCATCAATATGCAAGAAAAGGTGGCAATTAAATATATAATCCATCGGCTATCACACAAGTCCCGTGGCGGGTTAATGGCTTGTTTACTCACTCTGCCGCCCTTATATGGCGTGAAAGCTCCTCCGCATTGTCGCCAGCCCCTCAGTGGACTCAGTATGGTCAGGCGGATACGTGCGTCTGAGCATATGAGCCATTTGATAGCGTGAGAGATTAACAAATTGAAGACAACCCGCATAACTGTACTGGACATGTTTTACAGATAAAAATGAAAATGAGAATATTTATTTCATTTTTTGCCATTAGGCACTTACATTTTTGCAAGATAAGATATGGAAAACAAGAAAGTTTTAAAGTCTCCTACTTTTAGCAAATAGATATTATGTACATTGATAAGATACTAAGCTACGACTTGAGTTAACAAGTAATAGCTTCGAAATTGATTGATTGCCTAAAGATACTAAAGTTACTTCTGTGTAAAGTATTGAGCACGTGCCTTAACAGATAAGTGACTTACTTGCTTCATAGCTCGGATATTGTAAAACAGATGGTCATCGGATATTGCGTACGGAAATAAGCCGATGACGATGACGCATCACCTCTTTATCTGGATAAGGAAGATAAAACGAGACCCTATGTTTGCACAACGATGCTTCACATACGGTGGGGAAATCGCAAGCTCGAGTTATAATACTTTTGCACTAACAAGCCATATGGTCTACGGTCTACTTTGCATTGATACAGCGAATAACAGCATTAATAAATAAGTTATTCAAATTTTGTTATTTATCTGTTAGTAATTGCTGTGCCTATATAATTATCCTTTCAATTCCCTTCATTTAACACGGCCATAAAGTATAATATTAAGTACTTATAGGGTTAAGTTTAGTAACAATTAGTGATGATGACAAGAGGTGAGTCATTCACGCCTTAATAAAAATATGTCTTGAAATAATGACGTCACTGTTTGGGGTGGTGGCCTCTGTACGTTATATTACCAACCATATAATTAGAGGTGCAGTATCGGATCCATCAATATATCTGTCAGATGATGTCATAGCAGTCATCAACTATTGTCGTAACCTTCAAACTTATTACAGATCCAATACTTACTAAAAATATTGATTACACACGCGATGAAGCCACTAAGAATAACAACGTTTCCAGATAGCTATAACCATTAAAACAATGTGTTTCGGCAAACACATAACAACGTAATTAGGTATTGTAAGTTTTCCAAAAACTAAAATAAGTACTCGTAAAAACAGGAATTTTCCACGGGACATAAAACTTCATATTTACTAGTAAACGTTTGGGACGGTATTTTAAAATTAACGAGTCAATATGACATGTTTCATGAGTAAAATTTATTAGAACAGATGTTATCCACGTAACTAACAAAAGTATTTTTTTCTTTACAGAAATAGCAAAAGTTCGAGCAAGTTTATTCCAAATAAATGGAGTTAAGAAAGAACCACTCGTACTACCAGAGCCTGAAGGCGTGGTCACCACACTCACAGAAAAAGTTTACGTGCCAGTAAAAGAACATCCAGATGTAAGTAATTACGTTATTAATATGCTTGCGTTTGATTCTAGGGTTTATCTGTGATGCCTACTAGCACAGGTCAAGGGAATGAAAACGATGATTACAATGCTGTATTTAAAACGTGATGCATAATTACAATCACACGAACAACAGTCAGGAAGTCTTAGAATTACTAGTAAACTTTTTGGAGAAATTCCCATTGTACTGGAAAATTAAACCACCAATTCTCTCCGTAACAACGTTAGACCAATTTGCTTTATTACTTACAACTCCGAGAATTCTAATTAAAGCAGTATCGTTCAAACTTTATGGATTTACAGAAAACATCCCACTTCTTGAATTGGCAATACCTACGCGACGTTATTAGGTCATGCATGCTGCAGTATAAATTCTCTGTTGATGCCAGATAGATATAAAAATAAGATAAGAATTTTATTTCTGGTTCTTTAAGCTTAACTTTTCAACGTCGGGGCGTCAACCTAGACTTATGCTTTCTTGCTTTCATTACTATTAGAGCGTGTGTGCATTTGCACGATTATATTTTGTCAATACGTTTCAATGCCATATTTTGCACATTTGATCAAGGTACGTGGTTGTTTCACAATACTTTCGTACAATGTTTTCATACCTTTAGCGGATAGGTGACACACATGCCAAATGTCATTGTTTACAAGCTAATCAGTCGTATTCATACAACTTATGCCTCATTCACAGCCGAAGTATCTGAATATAATGAATGAATACTTTCTTAGTGTACACAATGCCATAGTTGTTCAGTCATTAATTATTTGACTGTCAAGTCTTTTATGCAGTGCCTTGTTTGTTATAAGTGAATGTAAACACTTCTTCTCATTTACTGATGAAACTTGTATGCACATGATCGGTAAGATGTGCTCAAGCAATTATAACCATAATGAATTTGTATTGCTTGACAAATACCCGAGTAATTAATTCACCGCTGCAAATGTTATCCTAATTAAGACTCATTGCAAAATCGTTGTAGTATCCCACCGGTTTGTTATGTCCTATTGAATTGCAAAAAGGTAATAAAGGAAGCTGCTTGTCAATTACGTTGCAACATACGTTAACTATCTCCAGCAGCCATCACAGTTTTCTAAAGTTTTTTAAACGGATAAGAATTCTAATAATTTCTTCATGTACCAAGCTAATTGTTAGGAACAGCGAGTTACTGCAATAGTTACCTTAGTCATATATATAGAAATACAAGGTTGACAGGCTGCTGCATTTGGTGACTGATGTCAGGGCTATCTCGTCTTTGATATGATTGTGGTTTCTCGCACGACCCTCGCCGATACCTCCCATTCATTGTTACTAACAGATTCTTAGTCATTTAAAAATGAACACGAATAGAACGCCTTTTTCGGCATCGGGTTCATTGAACTGAATGATTCACTATTAAAATCGGATAACATAAGCATTCTTCGTATTCGTGCCAAGTACGAATGCAGCTGATGAAAATATTGTCAATGCATCAGTTCACATGTCGCGCTATTTGGCTTCCAATGTACTTACTACTTAGTTTATTTATATAGAAGTTACATTTTGTACATGTAGACCGATAAGTTCACCATACTCTATTTGGGTTGGTTTCATTAATTTAAACATATCGGTCCCTATAAGTATGATGTTACCCGCATATGTTTTAGGTATAACCATATTGAGACTGTTGAAAATGTGTATCTGTATCGACGTCATGTGAAAAGCCTGTTTTTCTTTGACGTAATACAAATTCAAACTCCTTTACTCTTCTTTGCTTTGTTAGGGATCTTAACTTAGAACCGTAGTTTCATCAATTGTAATTCAAACCTTTACACAATATTGCTCAACAATCTTACTTTATAAGACAAGGTAAATGTTATATTTATTCACACCATTTTAGAAATCATTTTCGTTTTAAATAATAAAAAAAGTAATTCCTATAATCCATTTGAAGTGTGTTTAAGAAACTAATCAATATTAGTGGGATGTGTATTGACTCATAGAGGTAATATATTGTTGGCGCCATTAACTCGTCTGCGACTCCTTATACGGTGTCATCTAACGAACCACAGCCACTGAATTAATTTAGTTGAATTTTATTACAATTTTGAGTGGTTGAATAACAATTACTGAATTTATCACGTGATAATGTGAGAAAATAGGAACATTAAACCCAATTAAGCTGGCATCATCTAATCAAATGTTTTAATGCAGCACTGAGATTTTAAAATACATTTGATGACTTCTTTGGTAGTGGTAGCGAACAATGCTGCTCAGCATGTAGCTGTAGTCTTCGATTTATAAATTACATCTGTATTTGGGGTGTCATATGAAATTGACCAAGAAATTATTTAATTTAAGATGAACAACAAATAAATATGGTGACGTACAGAAACTGACTTTTTCGAAAAACAAAATCTTGTAAGTATTGCGTTCTTAGACTATTTATTGCGTTTCATAAACTGCGTCCTCATTTTAGTAGGTAGAATGTTTCCACCAGTGCAATGTACATAGACTTCACTTAACCAAACACTGAATATCCATGTTAGATAAATAAGTTATCATAGATCATCGGAATAATTGCGTGGAATCCAACAATGTAGACGTAAATCTTAAGATAAATTGATCTTTGAATGATATTGATTGGCGATCAAAAGAACCGTTCCGAGACATTGGTCACGTACACAGAAATAATGATGGAAGCCCTTAACGATGCAGATGGTTGTCACATGAGGCCAGTTCTGAGAATCCTTCGTGAGCTGTTTCTAACACTTAGAATAATTTGATTGATCTTAAACGACTTTGCTAGGCTAGTTTAGACGCTCAACTCCACAGTTAGAGGATGAAAAACCAATTTTCTTGATGTAGAAAGCTTGTAAATTGTTTTTAATATTTGTTGGCAAATTATTGACTTTCAACGATATAAATCGTTTTAGTTAGCGCATGTAAAGCACATCATTAAGTCTGCGAACAAATTTTTAATAGTAGCTACTGTATTTGAAATTGTGCACTACGTCTATCCATGTTGATAGGTCTACTCCTTAATCTTTGTTAGTTATGTTTTCCGCTTGAAGTAAAGATTACCTACTGATGTTCTGCTATCCAAAACAAATAGTTGTTTTACCAAACCTTAAAATACTGTTTTCTCAATTGGTAATCATGCTATCAATGTTTTATTCGCTCGCAAAAACTGCGCCGTAAACTAAACGTTAACTCTAACAGAAATAGAACTAACAGTTTGAATGCGTTTCGTATGTTGAACACATTGTCGAAACAATAGTTTTGGTACACCGGTACCGACTGCTGTGACTAATATCTTAAAATGTTTTATTTTTGTAACTGTACCGTCCATCTTTATAGCGCAAACAAATAGCAACGTTTTAATTCTTTTCTACACCATTGTTTGCACACACCCGGATTTAAACACGCATTTCAACACGTTTATTATTCTGCTCTATTTTATTTACCCCAGTCTCAAGTCAGTTTATTTTACGATTCCACTTGGCTATGCAAATAGGTATATTGTAATTCATATTTGAAATTCACACTGATATACAATGTGAACTTCTCAGAGCTGCAGCCGTGCAGACGACTCCGTGTCAGAACTCCAAGAAAAAATAAAACAAACCACAATATTTTCCCACAAATTATATTCATTCAATGAACCATAAACAAATCACGTATTACGTTTTATTTATAGTAATAAATTTACTGCTACGATTAAAACGTTTTGCACATATAGAAATGCAGGATAGATAGCTACCTAATTAATTCTTTTCCTAGTCCTTTATAGAAAAAAATGCGAACCAAACGCGGAACATGTCGTGTTCCGCATTGTTGGGGTTGCAAATGATATGCTGAGCACATACGAGTGCGCTCGAAGCTGCTCGATCATAGCCCACTAGATGGAGAGCTCCAACCTCATTTTGGTCCTACAGGTTCCCGCTGGCACCGCATAGAGATGTTAACACATCGATAAAATACGCGCGATTCCAAGCACGAATATTAATATCGATATCCCTTGCATTTGAATAGCAATAAATAAATACATCTGTATAATCTCATTGATTTTGTATGAAATTATATTTATATTCTATTACCTACTACAAATCGCAAACACGTTTAGCGCTCAACAAGTCGGTGTAGGTATCTGTTTTGGTCATCTTGCGCTATTCCTGTAACTAGCATCTACATACCTTGTACTAACATCTAAATTCATTATAAACATTGCATCTTCGTGATTGCTAAGTTTAGAAATAAAAATAGGTTAATTTAGAATTTCCTCTCCCACGATTTCAACATTAGACGCTGCCTAATAAAACAGATGTGCTTTACATCAAAACAGCAGAAGTCACGATCGTATCATAAAAGAATCGACATCGATACAGTAAGAGGTCCGTGCCTCGAAATCTGCTTCATTCCATTTACGGCCGGAGGAGTTATTAAATCCTGCCATATCGGTGGAGACCGTTACTTGGCTTTTTGCTGCTCAAGAAGTACCAGTTGATGCGTGTCTTAATGGAGCATCTTAGAGCGGCACACGCTGGGAGAAAGCCAAACATCTGTTATTTTATTCAAGGAAATATAAAGGTGGATATAGTTGAATATCTTGAACACAATTATCCTTATCTGTACTTTGAAGTAGACGCTTGATTACTTTCGTAAAAGAGGAAAGCCTCAAGTTCATTAAGATTCTGAAGAGCTTAGCTACTTATTCTATACGCGCAGAGAATACGTAAGACGATATAAGTCTTTGTATTGTTCGGAGCACTACAATAGATATTAGTTTCTACATAAAACTTGTTGCGTCGAGGCCTAGCTCTTGTCGCTTTGCCTTTATAAATGGGGTATAAGGACGTGAATGAATGGCTGATAAATAAAAATATACGGTTCATTTTAACAACCAATGGACACTTGACGTGTTTTGAAACATTGGAGACGATTCGATAGTAAAATTCAGTATAGCATCACTATAAACCCCACTTTACTAGCAGTTAAATTTGTTCTTT